GGATCTGCTGACTGGAGCAGACACTCGGCTAGGAAAGACTGCATCCCTAGCGCCGTCCTTACTCTTATCTTCGCCAGACTCCAAAGGCTGGATTCGAGCGAGGATTCGAAACGTCAGGCCAATAAACGCCCCGTTACGGCGATCGAATCTTCTTCCTCTGAAGAGTTTCCTGGATCCCACCTGATCGCTTCTGTCCGTCTGAGATGTATCAGTCATAATGGAAGAGAAACAACATATCGGACTCCATCCATTTTTGAGGTGTGCGTTAGGAGACTCCCCAGTAATAGGCCAATCTATAGGGTGTCTAGGCGCGTAGTCAATGCCACACACATTCCCTCAGCATTTACTAAAATTGTCCCGTATCAGGCAAGTGAAGCTATGTGAAGATGTTTTTCACACTCATTGCAGCAGCAACAGTCCAGGAGACGAAGCCCTGCAGAGCCTGATGCATTCACGACCAATGTGTGCGAAATGGCTGATTAAAAGTTTTTATCACCCTGTGTGTTTGTTTTCCCAACATCCGGGAAAAACCGGAAGGATTGCATGCTCTGCTGCACACTCAGACTGGCTCAGAGGTGACCGAGCGAACTGTTGTGGTTCTGCGTAAATGGCTCGCACACCATCAAACACCCCCTCTGTATCCAAAGACTTCCAAACGCTGGTTCAACAAGTTGCTTTGGCTTTTCGTATCCTCTTAATTTAATTTCCTACTCATTTGACCCACTTCAGGAAAATGTCAGCGGCTTCGGTGGGATTAGCAAGCGGAAGGCTTTATTATCGCCAATACTCTAGCCAAATGAGTTACGGGGGAGCCCACCGGGAGCCGTGAGATCAATCACCCAGCGTACGCCAACGTGCGGAATTCACAATATGGGATACAATGAGCTGGCTGCCCAGGCAGGATTTCCTAAGCAGTCAATCTAGAATCCAACGGATGACTACGAGGCACACCTAGTCGCAGGGAATTTTGACAGGATTGACTAATTCAGTTGGCTCATTTAGGAAAAAGTCAGCGGCCTCGGTGGGAATACAAGCTACCTTAGCAGAGGGAAGGCTTTAGTACAGCCAACGCTCTGTCTAACTGAGATACGAGGTCCCCACCGGGAGGCTCCTATGTATAGTGTTCCCAGAAAGTTTTTTGGTCCATTTTCACGATTTGTACTTCATATCATTCAATGTACGATATCGTACGGAGCATTGCCGTTTTTTACTCTACAAGAGATATAACGGAAACTACTTCAATTTAGTGTCAATTTGCAGCAGGTAAGTCGGGATTAACTTAGTTATTGAGAATTCAACCAGTATCTATTTGGCAGTTGCAAATTATCTTCTTATCCTCGTCTAAAAATAAATTTTGTCCACTAATGACAAAAGCTTAGTGCGGACGATGTATTCTAAAATGATAATATTGTCCTCTAGTAGGGCATAAAACTGACAGAGAAAGGAAGTTATAAAGGGAAGGACGCAAACACTAAAACGTCTTTGATGTAAGAACCCATAAGGGTGGTAGGGACTTGACTGGTAAAACAAGTTCGCCAATCATTCTCGAAAGAGAAATTTTATTGGACAAAGATCGAGGGGTTAGGCGACATGACAGCACTAAGGTAGTGAAAGGATGTGAATTCATAGGGAAGAAGGTCAAAGGATTGAGGATTAGAAGATGGTCGCAGTTGGAGCGCGTACTCAACTAACTGGCGGTTGTTCGGTATAAGACCCTTGTGTGAATCTCATGCTGTCAAGTGGTTCAAACCTGTCCAAAGGAACTTTTAGGTTAACCTCATTTTTGGCGGGGTACCAAAGGCACACATAATCGCCATAAATTACATGGATGGTACCATACGAAATCTAGCACTGTGCATACACACACCTAAACTAATTCTAGGTGGAGGACCGTTTATTCTTCTTTGCTGTCTATGTCCTTGAAGCAAACTGCTAATTGAATTTCGCGGTCACGACACCTGATCTAGCCGGGATCAGGCCAAGTGTGACTGAAGTCTCGACCTCTGTCAAGAACTCGACCAGCCAGCATTTTGACTTCTTGTCCGCATTCTGAACCCTGTGCGATCATCACCAGAGCAATATCAGTAAACATTTTAGGTTTATTTCTCATGCAGTTACTGCTGTTTTTATCGCTGCCTCGTATTAGGAGTGTGCTTCTGCAAGATTTAGGAAACTGAGTCACAAAAGTCCTTCCGTTAAGCAACTTGGTAGGTAAATAA